AGCCAAGATTGTCAACGGTCCAGTCCAGCCCAAGCGTCTCCAGTCCAGACCAGAACCTTCTATCTCGACAGAAATAAAGTCCCGGCTGTCCCTTCATCTTTCTCTAGCATAAGTATTCATTGTTATATTTTTTGTAAAAGGCAGTTCCGCCTAAAAAACAATTTAAATCCCATCAACCATTCTGGCCAAGGCAACCTCTTTATACTGAGATAAATTGTTAAAGTCCTCACCAGTCTGAGGCAGGAAAAGAACTTACTTGGGAGATATTTCTCACCCAAATTCACAATCGTTTGTTTGCAGAAATCAGTAACTTGGGACGCAAGTTATCCATTCCAAACTAAGTCTGCTAGAAATTTTGCTGGCAGTGGCACGCTCGCACACCAAAGAAAGCTGACTTGTTGACCAGTTTATGGTTCTCAAGGCAGTGGGGAACTTTGCGCTTTCATCATAGGAGTAAACACAAGAACGGGTGAACAAACACCAATGACGGATTCATGAATTTTTCAGGGAAAGTGCAGTATTCAAAAGTCTAAAAGCTCAACAACAAAAAATTGACAACTACATATTCTTTGAATTTAAACAACAGTAATCCCCATAATTCATTGTGGGGCAAACCCCCATGAAAAATAGTTTAATAAAGAAAATTAGCCCATTGGATGGCCAATATACATAAATATTATTTTTTATTTGTAGGCTGAGGATTAATAGTTTAATACTATTATGTCTGTCATTACACGCTCATCTTCTTCGACAGAAACACAACCGCCCCTGGAACTCATTTGATCTTCTTTGTAAATTGCTAAGATCAACACAGGGGCAAATACAAGTATCTCCAATGAATTTTGTATTTGTTGAGGCCCAAAAAAGTCCATGGTTAGCCCCAAATAAGTTTCCGGCTCAATATGATACTGTATTAAGAAAAATCACATATTATAGTACACGAAGGCTCATCATATACAAGTCATAGTCCACATGCCATGCTAAATAAATAATTTGTTATGCCAAGGACTGAGATAATATTATAAAATACAAGTCCATGCTAAACTAAGCACCGTGTCCCTCTTCAAGGACGATAAAATTGAAGCACGCCAAGCGACATGCCACGCCAAGTAAGGAATTATTATTCTGCACCCAATCACGCCACAAGCTTAAGTGGGCCCCAAGCCACTCAAATACTCGGGGCTTGCTTGAGTGGGTTGTGGTATGAATGGTAATAAATCGACATGAGGCCCATTGATGGGCCGAGAAATGGGAGTCTCGGGTCTCTTGGGAGCCCCAGAACTCCAACCCGAGAAATGGAAGTCCCGGGTTGTTTAGGAGCCTCGGGACTCAAGTCCATTTCATAGGTCCAAACATATGGGTGAGCACAAGAGAGAAAAGAATAGCCCATCACTCCAAACAAAAATAGCCCAACCAAAATAGTCTATTGACTCAATCAAAAAACCCAAACGTTTGATAAAAAAAGTCCACTTACTCAATGAATCACCTTTGACCATACAATTACCATAATGAGCTACAAAAGCCCCAGCACTTGGCTGGAAAAACAAAAGCCACGAATGGGAAGTCTGAAGGTCCATTATACAAAGCTGCTGGAAGGTTCCAGCACATGGGAATGGAGCAAGTTTCAAGTAAAAGACACCCAAGGGACCAAGGGATGTTGGCGCACAGCCTGCTAGGAGAGGAATTGCCTTCACCCTTCGAACCAGCGTGCATACCCATTTCTTTCCCTCATCAGACCTGGCCATGGAAGAAGGAAGAAAAGAAAAGAAAGAGATGGCTAGAAATAGAGGCAGCTGCAGGAAAGAGCATTGAGCTCCCAAAAATCCCTGATTTTGTGAGATTGGACAGAGAAGATTTTGCTAGAATAAGATAAGTCAAAGAAGGGGGGAGAAAGGAATGGAAAGACTTGGCAAAATGGGATGGAAGCCATTAGGGTTTCTTGGAAAAAGATGGCTTTTAGCAGCTATAAATAGGGCTTCTTCTACCCAACGAAAATCAACCTACATTTCAGAGAGCAAGCTTCCTCTCTCACCTGCAACACCTAGCAAATTTGTGCTCTGTTCATCCTCCTCCCCATTTTTCCTCCTTCTGGCAGGCTGCTTTAGCATTTGACAGAGTCACTGTTAAGCTGCCGGAAATAATACTCAAGCCACCCATTCCTTTTTTTTTTTCCCTTATTCTCAGCCAAACCTCTCTGCAAACTTTTCATCTCCTACCTTAATACCCTTTTCCCCCAGGAACACTTAGTTTTCTTTTCAGTGCTAAACTCATGACAATTTTGCTCTCATGCCACAAGCTTCTCATACCAAGCTAAAAAACTTATCTGTAAGTTGTTATTATTTTTGTTGGTGAAGGTAACCAAGGTGCTTCCTAAGGCATCTCTGTCCTTTCGAAGCATTTTTGGGGCTTGATATTCGAACTCAGGCTCAAGGGGCAATTTCATCCATTTTGCTATTTACGGCAGCCCAGACCCGTAGTAGCTGTAGGAACGAAAAAACCCCTACAGTATTGAATCCCTCAAGATTTACAGGTTTAATTTCTTCCCGTTGACGTGAGTCTCCTAATTAATCAAGGAGATTTATTTCCTTGATTAATTAAGGGATTTACTTTCCTATTGTATATAGTTAATAAATCATTGTATAATTAGGAGATACTATCCTAATTGATTACTGTATCTATTTTCTTATAAAACACTCATGTAAACTCCTTATTGAGAAGAATAAAACCTAACCCAAAAGTATTCAAACCATATTCATATTTTAGCCTGGCATCAGAGCAATTGATCCTAAGCTGTGTCTAAACCCTTATATCAAATTTCTCATATTCAAATCCAAAACCCTAAATCAAATTCCTCATATTTTTCCCCAAATCCAAATCCCTAAAATCTAAAGTCCTCAAATCCT